TTTTGAAAGATAAAAAATTTTTAAATCTTTATTTAAAAAAACTTAAAGAATTTACTGGTGTTTATTTTATAAATATAAAGATTGTACTTATATTTATTTCATAAAGTAAAGAAAATGTAACGCTAGTAAAAAAACCATCTTTTTGCAACTAAAGTTACTTTTTTCTTAATAAAAGTTTCTTTTTTCTAGTGAAAAACCTAGTATTCCACGGGATTTAGTAACTAAAAGCACCTGAGAATATCATTGTTTTATCGAAGGTTAAAATCTTGCAATACACATACTCAGTTTAGAAGTATTATTCTAACCTGTATATGCCCTGTGCCCTGCCCTGCCCTGCCCTGCCCTGCCCTGCCCTGAGGGCAGGGCAGGGCGAAAAAAAATATTACAAGTCATGTTCAGGGCAGGGCAGGGCGAAGAAAAACGCCCTGTGACGGTCTCTGGTAAGTATATTTCTCTTATATTTTATTGAAATATAGAAGTTAAAATAAGAAATAACATTTTTTATTTTGATTAATCAAAAAAATTTTTCGAAATAATTTCTTTTACTTTAGAGTATTTTTCATTTGAATATTTAATGTTTTATAATTGATATTATACTTATTTTTCTCACAGAATTATTGAATTTAAATATAAAATTTAATTACGTACAGCATCATTTTCAGTATAATTTGATGACACCATCAGATTACCAGTATCGACATTAAGCATATCTGGTTTCTTTTCACTTCTTGAATTTGTAGATGCAGATGATGTATTATCGATATATGTTGAAAGTTGACGATTTACATTTCCTATTAATTTAGCTGAACGCTAAACAAACAATATAGATAAAACAAAGAAAAATAAAAGAAAAAACTCAGATCACTACTGAAGGAAGATCATTAGTATTGGATGTATTGGAATGATCATCCATTGCAAAGAAGAGTTAAATATTTTATCAAAGAAAAAATTCTAAAAAAAGTATATAAATATGAGCAACAAAAAATGATCGATATATAAATAAAATATAAAAATACCTATTTATTTTGAATAACAATTAGAATTAAATTCCTTTGTTTCTTATATTATATGCCTCCTTCGAGAATAGTGATAAATAGTTTAACGAATTAAATAAGAAAATTCGTAGAAACATAATAACTAACATTTCATGTAATGGTGACATCTATTTTTAAAAATTCTCTCATAAAGATACTTTATTACTTTGAAATAGAAAAAAAATATTTCTAAAAAAAATCTCAAACAATATTATTATTATTTAGATAAATTCAAATATTTAAGCTGGGCAAACTATATTTTATCTGCATTTCATATATCTCATTGATTTATTAAAATTATAATTGAAAATATTATATTAAAATACAATATAGAGTTTTTAGAAATTAATTCGATTCATTTTATAACTAATTAAATAATAGGTTATTATTTTTCCAAAAGTTCATTATCTCTATTATTATTTAATTTATTTATAAAGAATATTTCAGTATATATTACGAGATAAAACTATTTCAATAAAATGAAAAAAAAAATAAATATGTACATGAAAATTTTTAGAAATATTTATTGTGTGCAAAATAAAATCGAAAAAGCGAATTTATAAAATTATTTTTAAATATATTATTTAATACATTATATTTGTACATATTTTATGTTGACTATCCTCAGAGGTGCAGAATCTGCCGCTGAAGTAGAAAATTTCTCCGAGTGGCAGCATTTTTGCGAAAAATTTTCTCCCTCATAAAAGTAAACTAAAAACCAGTTATTCTCGTTTATTATGTGTATTAATAAAAGAATACGACGATTTAACACATTGCAAATACGCTTGACAAAAAAAAAAGAATGTTATTATTCAATTTCGTTGGTTCAGGCATTCTTGCTACCTGTTGTTTCCGTAAGCAATTTTACATATGTGTAATCGTATAGATAGCTAGGGATAATTCTTATGATTGCATCTGAATAAGATACACAACATAACAGTTTCTATTATTAAAATATGTTAAAAAATTCAGATAGTTAATGAAAAGAAACGAAAGAAGAAAGGTAGAACATCTTATCCATACATATATAAATAAACTAAGATTCATTTGGAAAATTGTAAAATTCCTCTACGAGGGAAAAATATTTTTCACAAAACTTCCACAGATGCTAATAAATTCTCGAAAATTTCTCCAAGCGACCACTCGCGCACGCAGGTAGATTCTGCACCACTGACTATCCTATTGGTCTTTTTATGGTTATTTTTCTTTTTATAATATTCATTTAATAATTTTTCTTTGTGTATTTTTATAGAAATGTATATCGTCATCATTTTCACTACTCCAATGCTTGCTTATTTAAAGCACAAATCTGCAAGTTTCATTTTCAAATAGATAAAGTTTATATGAAGAAAATATTAGGCTATCATTACACTCATTAGCAATTAATACTTTATCATAACTCAATAATTTTAGTATATTGAATGATCTTGTTCAGTTAAAAACAATTGAAATGAAGAAGAAAATAACTTGAAAATCTCTCATATTAATTTAAACAATAAAAATTTGACTTTCACTTATCGATATAATATAAAGTAATCTTCAATATCAATCAAATGCCATAATACTAACTATTAGAACTATTTTTGATGTTATTATTGGTATTAATTCTATTATCTCAAAGTTATAGAATAATAAATTTAAATTTACTTTCATCACTTATTTTTGATGAGTAAATCATTTGATTTGTTTTAAGAATAAAAATATACAAATTTTTGTTTATAATCAAATGTAAAATCTGATGTAATAGTTCGTTGATCAAATATAATCACTATAGTCGAATCGAATTTCAATATTTGAGTCACGATTAAAATTATTCGTATGAATAGAAATTATTTTTTTTAATCATATGTTCACATGTTTTTAAATCAAATTTTAATCGAAAACGAGATTGACAACGATATTGATAACTATTCGCTGATAAATTACTTCTTTCAAGTATACATAAATGTTTCTATCTATCTTAAAACTAAAAGAGTATTCAAATAATTTAGCATATTTTTCTTATTGAAAAAAGTAAAAAAGAAACAAAAGTCGAAATTGTCACAATATCTACTACTCATAGAAAAACAATATATTATTTAACATAATAAAAAGCTCCCTTTTTTTTGTTGTTAAATAAATTTAATTTTTGAAAAAAATTCTATAAATGGATTGTATTTTAATAACATTTTATCATTGAAAACAAAAGAAATATGTAAAATAAGAATATTATTAAACTATTATAATAATCATGTGCACATTTGAAAAATTAACCAAATAATTAATAAACACCGTCTAGATAAATTATCAAATTAAATAAATATTTTGATTTAAAATTTTTTCTAAGGGTGTGAGTGTGGGTCGATAATCTCTTCGACGGTACCCACACCCATACCCTTGCTGATTAAGTTCATCATAGAAACTTATATATGATTCAGAAGTGAAATGAGACGTATTTAAATTATGTAGATAGAAATATAAAATAAATCTCTGATTACTAAATAAAATTCTCCTATTTCTCATAGATGCATGGTTCAAATTTTATGAATGTTATGTTAATTGATACTGTATCATCTCATAGTAAACTATATATCGAGTTCAATAAATGCACGTAAACTGACCAAGGGAAAAAATTTAACAGAATGATATAATTTCATGCCTCGATCCTCTATAAAAATTTTGTAACAACTGTGTAAATTGTAAGCATGCATACGTATAGGCCACGAAAGAAATCGACTTTTCTGTTGCTAAGAAACATACAGAACAAAAGAAGTTAAGCACATAAATAGAGTTATAATTGAATATTAAAAAGCAATGAGCTTATCTATCGGGTTGCTTCTCTTGTGTTCAAGTCTCGCACAACAGACTTCTATAATATAGAGAATTTAGAATGAATATATACTTGCCTGTTGTCTCATATAGTTTCATAAACATATAATCGCATGACTGCCACCCCGTCTTGGGAGCGTCTCATTTCAGGTACTTTATTTATTTTTCATCATGGACGCCTTTAAACGAAAATAATCAGCAATTCTTGATAGTATTTAGTCTCGTGTTTTATCAATTTTCTGCGCATTCGAGCTTTCTCTACACGTATCATGAAACATTTGTTCACTCTTCTGTTTGAATGATATTCAATATATTTATCGTAGATATTGTTGGATTATCGTGATTTATTTCCATGAAGACACACAATATAGTTATAGTACTTTTCATTAATCTGCTCATAACCATATGCTCATAGAATTTATCCAACTTTCGGAAAGTTTCCATGAACATATCTCATCATATATTTGATCTGGATCATATGTCCACAAAATATTTAGCTCCAATAACTACTGAACAGCGCACATCTACAATAGGTATCGAAAGTAAGTGATTAATAAGTCATTTGATAATCCTGGCAAGATCACAGAACTGAGCATATTTTATTGCTTGAAAGTTGAAAACTTATTTAAATTATTTCGACAGTATGAATAAACAATCGATGAAGAGTATTCAATCATATGTTATATAGGCTTTGAATATTCAACAATTGAGAGCACTTCTAGAGTTTATACTATGATAGACAGACATATATTATTTTCTTTTTTAATTTGATTCAATCTCTAGAAACAGTTTCAACGTCTTATCTTTGCTGTAGCAACAATTCTGAATGTTTCTTTTCTCTTGTGCTATTCACACTCTTATGTGTAACTCAATTGTCGTATATATTAACAATAGAATACGGTTTCTTCAATTATTTAATCAAGACAACAGTGGAAGACCGATCATTTCTTAATTGACAGATCATAGATGTTTTCCGCGAACTCGTTGAATTATTTGTCAAGAAAAACAAAACAACTTGAAGTTGAATAATATTCATTACCCTTTTTCTCTTTAATTTCATGAATCCTTGATGACTCTTTTTGGAGATCATGTTCAGAAAGACAAGCATTTTTAATTCTGTGTTTTCATTGCTAGTGGATCAGAGTTACTAAATTTATATTTCGAATGATTTTTAAAAAGATGCGTGATTTCTATAGTCAATGTGTACAGATATGAAAAAGTATTCAAACCCTAGTGTTTGAAAATTTATTTGATCTGTTCTGTAAAAAAAATTGTATACTAAATTAACTAATACCTGAGATAATTTAGTAATGATGACTAAATATTGTTCACCCAACTTTTCTTTCAAGATTGTATTCATGTGATTTGATTGATATTTTCCTTAGATTCAATAAACAACTGCATCGAAAAACGTTTATAAATATTTATGTATGCATCAATACATAGTAATAATTTCCTCTTTCTTCGATTAGTTTTTATTCAAGGTAAGTACTGTATAGTATTTCATACATACAGTTAAAAGAAAAATTTTAAAATTGAATGTCTGTTGTAGAATGTACTCTATGACTCTCTTCATTATGCTTTGGATAAGTATAATCTTACTAACAGTTGCTGTTGAAAATCAAACTTCGGCGTCAGTCAACTGTGTTACAAGTGAAAATACTACATGTTGTAAAGGATATATCCTACAAGTAATAAATAGAACATCAGCAACCTGTGTTAAATGTCTTCTACCAGAAGCACTTTTCTATCAAACACTTTTACCAATTCTTGTTCTGGATATTACTGTGATATTAGTAATGTCATTTTGGATGTACCACTACCTGAAGCTACATGCATTGCAGATTCAGTTGTTACTTAGAAATATCAGATATACAAACTTTGATATTTACAGACCTCGCAGCGATCCTTCTTTTCTTCTATTTTTAGACCGTCCTTCTTCATCCTTATTTTCTCCTAAAATCCTTCTTTTCCTTCTTTTTTACTTTTCATAATAATAGGCTCTCAGAAACATCGAAAAAACTGATTATCAATATTTAGTTAGAGTCCGACACTGATAGGGAGCTATCAG